AGTAATACAAAAACAAATGTTTAAACAGCACCAAATAGAGTATCATAATGCTCTGACCACTGCAAAATCTCTGTAGTCTCTGTATCATCTGTAGTCACAATTCCAATTCTAGAATTCTTTTTATAACAATTTACAATTTGACTGGACCTCTGCATCTGTTGAGCTTTGTAATTAATTCCTTTTACAACAAAGATAGATAATATTTTCACCTCTATTGCCTGTGATGCGATTTTTCTGCATGTAGAGCTTTTATCTTCTCAGTTTTCCGTTTCTGCTTTTGTCAAAACTGGGTTGGCTTAGCCGGGACAGCAATAAGCTGGTTCACATAGTACCTAATTTTCGCTCAGAGTTCATTTATTTGGGGGGTCACAAATTGCGGAATGTCCCTCTGTGTCATGGCATTCGGGCTATATTTGTTTAACATTTATATGCTACCTGTTGAACAATTTGTTCAAAAATATGGTATTAATTATTATTGCTATGCCGACGATAGAAAGATTTACATTTGTACATCTCCTAATCTATCTGCCTCATGTCAACACTTAATGCCTGCTTGTTAGAGATTAAAGCCTGGATCCAACAAAACTATCTCAAATTAAATCTCTCCAAGACTAAGATTTTACTCATTGGCAGATGTGGTAATATTAAGTTAACAGTTGTTGGTCCTCTTCTAACTTCTTCTATGCAGGTATGTAATCTTGATGTACTTTTTGATGCTCAACTTAGTCTGAAACCTCATTTTAAACAAATAACAAAAATCACTTTATCACTTACGAAACATTGCCCGCATCCATCCTTTTCTCTCAAGCCTGAAAGGCTTGTCCATGCTTTTATTACCTCACGTTAGATTTTTGTAACTCTTTATTTGGGGGTCTGCAGCCAATTCACTTTTTTATATTAAATTTTACAATATGTTCATAACTTAGCCGCACCAGTGTTAACTCATACATCGTCTCAGTCACACATTACCCCTGTACTCCAACAGTTACACTGGTTGCGTGTTAAGCCACACATAATTTTTAAAACCTTGATTCCACCTGATTATAAATGTGATCTGATATCTACAGCATCTTCCTATGGTTATTTATGTTCCGCTTCGGGGATCACCTCGTTTCAGCCTCTCTGGAAACTTAGCACCATGAGAGGTAGGGCATTCTCGTACCTAAATTTTAGAATGCTCTTCCCACAAATGTTAGGAATGCCAGTTCCTTGAACTGTTTTAAGAAACATCTTAAAACTCACCTTTTTAGTGCTTATAATTTATGAGGCTTTCTTTTTAATTTGTATTTTTGCATTTCATGTTTTATTGCATTCTGATGCTCTTGTTAGCGATTTGAGTCTGAGAAAAGTGCACTATAAATCAAATTCATTAGGGGTTCAAGCGCGAAGCAAATTTTTTGCTCTTCTTATTATTGTTTTTTCTGCCGAAGTTACTATTGCATAGACCATAGAGATGCGCGGATGGGCTATTATTTCATCCGCAACCGCATCACAAAACACATCATCCGTCCGCCATCCATCCGCACTAACATTTTTGACCAAATTTTAAAACCGCACCCGCCCGCCATCTGCTGACTGAGCTCTTTATTTGAATGGCTTATTCCTTTTTATTATTAAATGAATGTTTCTTTATTGATTATTAGAAAATAGAGAATAACTTTAATTTCATGCAGTTAATCCAAACGTGCAAGTCAAATCCAGCATTAACTGACGCTTTGAAGTGATGCTATACAATACGAGGACGTGTCTTTTCACTTGATTCGATTCCTCGGTCCTTGAGTCTTTTACTTGCGTCCTTCCCTCGCATCCTATAGGAGTGGAAAGACGAGGAAAGAAAGCAAGGAAAGGAAACGAGGATACACAAATAAGAAATGAGAAGCACCCCTATAAAGCTCTCAGAATATCAGTAGTGAACTCCGTCTCAAATTGGCTCACAGGGACAAAAATAAATAAATAGCCTAAATTAAACGCACTGTACTGTACAATTTTTTTAATTATTATTGTAGCCTAATAGAAAACGCATTTTGACACATCATTTCAACATTCAGACGAGAGCGCCTGGGCTCAATGCGCCCTGCTGCACTGAAGGAGCGCTCGCTCGCAGCACTTGTTGCTGGAATGCATAGAATTCTCTTAGCAAGGTGCTGTAGACGTGGGAATGACTGCCTTGTTTCTCCCAAAAGGAAAGTAGATTTTCCTCTGCTGATCCGTCTATACGGAAGTTTGTAGATGAAGACTTCTGTACTTCATCCAGAAAAAGTGTATCCGATTCCTCCTCTCATTCTGTGAAGTCAGTCTTAGGCCTTTTCCTTTGTGCGCCAGCTATGTGTACAAAAACAGTACAACCGCCCACCACCCGCCCGAATTTAATTCAAATATAATTTTTCGTCACGTCATCCGCCCGATCCGTGGTTTATCCGCGGATTCCGCGGCTGTAACCGCCATCCGCGCATCTCTAATAGACCAAACCGTAAGGCCTACAGAGCTAAAACCTGGTCAGATGGTAGTACTCGGATACACTACATGCTCAACAAAAATCAGCCAAATCGGACCATAGGTGGCGCTATGGTGCCAAAAACCAACATTTTGGACATTTTTGGCCGCCATTTGTACACTATTTGTCATGGACTCAAAAAACTAACATATTTGGAATCCCTAGGATAGCCCGGACAAAAGTGGAATGACTCAGATTTTCCGTACATTGGAAAGATTTTCCGCTACATCGCGATTTGTCCGAAACCTACTTTTGGGAACTTGTCCTAGGTTTTTAGCCCAATCTAAACCAAACCAGTTCAGAAATGTTCTCTGGAAACTGAATATCAATAATTATCAAAAAAACAGACTTTGGCCACATGGTGACGCTATAAATTTTAACCCAAACCTTACGCCGATTAGATCAATTAGCTTGAAATTTGGCATGTAGTGTCTTTGACCAAGTTGTCATGACATATTATAAAAGACATTGGCTTATCTCAAAAAACATGGCCGCCATTAGCTAATTAAAATTGAGCAGCTATTAAACTAGGTTAACGATGAGTGATTGAAACAAAACTCGGTGGGCATATTAGACTCATGGTCCTAGAGGTCTGTAAGAATTTTGAAAGAAATCAGCCTCTAGGGGGCGATTTTGTTTTTTTTTGAGGAGGTAATTGATTGGATATTACACAAATTGCACAGCCACACAAAATACATATCATATGATAGGTCTGCTTGTACTGAACAGTTTGACACTAAAACCACTGCTGTTACTGAAAAATTTCTATTAATAAATCATCAATATATGAAAAACCTACTTTTGCAAACTAGTCCCTGGTTTTTAGCTCAATTGCACCGAAACCAGTGCTGTTAGAGTCTCTGGACTAAGTAGATCAATAATTATCAAAAAAAAAAAAAAAAAGTTAAACCTTTAATTTTGTCTAGCTGTAACAGGCTCATCTAAAAAGTGGGCGTGTCCACATGAACCTATATGCCTGTAAACCTATAAGGAAAACTCAAAACATCACAGAAATTGGTGAGCATATGTGGCATATCAATGTGAAGAAACATGCAATTTTTTGTGGAGATCAGACAATAGGTGGCGCTATAACAGTAGAAATGGTCCTAAAACATGCTAAAATGCGTAAAAAAAAGCAGTAAATGGGCTTCATTTACACACTTTTACAAGTTTAGTGCAAGCTTATCACTGAAATTATTTACATGTTACACTTTTTGTCCATTTTGGATATTTTAAAGGTCTAAAAAACACATTTTTTTTAATATTCTACAGTTTTAGCCACTATAACAGACTTTTAATTGCCACCTACCATATTTAACTACTAGATGTCAGCACAAGACCACTTATTATTTGTTCCATTTGCATTCCTTTTTTTTTTTTTTTTTTTTACATTTTTTAATTAGATTTTTTTAAACATTTTTAAATTAGATTTAAATTAGATTTTTTTACATTTAGAGTTAAAAGTAATGTAAATTGCATTAAGGAATGACATTTGGACATTATGCAAACACTGTTATGCATTAAAAATTTACTTTAGTCACAGTTTACCTCTATATAACAATTCTAAAAGGCAAAAACTGGTGCTATAATTAAACACCTTGTTTTAAAACATATATTCAAATAATTACAAAAAGTGGCTACTAGATGGCAGTAACAGACCACTTATTGTTTATATTACTGCTGTTGAAGCAAAGAATGCATTCTGAATCCCAAATTGACATGGCATAAACACGGTTAATGCATTTAAGATAACATTTTTTTAAAGATCAAAGTTAAAGCTTGTCACACTTTTTACTCTGTAGATATTTATTTATTTTAATAAAATACAAAATTTTTATTTTATATAGTAATAACATGCTCATTTATAGAAGGAATTTATTTATGCACACAAAAATGGCTGTAATCACATAAATAAATTACACTGTGGCCACTAGATGACAGTAGGAGATTACTAATAGCTTATTTCACTGCTCTTTTGTAATTTTATTGTGAAGAGCAAAAATGGCCAAAACTCATGAATGAATAAAAATATCTTCAACTAACTTGTTACTCATTTGCAAGAGATCAATCTAAGATCATAGCATAAAACTTGTAGACATTGGCCACATGGTGGCGCTATACATTGTAAAATCACTGTATCTAAGTAACCATTTATCTGATTAACTAGAAATTTGACATGCATTGTCTTTGACTAAGGTGCCATGACTATATCATTATATCATAGGGCTGCTTATACTAAATAATTTGACATAAAAACTGACACAAAAATGTCAATAAAAAAAAACGAAGTTGCTTTTTCGGATTGTGTAATCAAACATTAGTTAGCTCAATCTATAAACTCTAATACTCCAATCATTTATTTAATTGTTGAGTAAGCTACTTACAGACTTCCTAAGTGCTCATTAACCTTACGCTGCTAAAATGCTTGAACCCCATTAATTGCTGCTTGCAGCTATATTTACTATTATTATTAATGCAACTTCAAAAACAAACAAAAGATGCTTACGTATAGAAGGGTCTGACATGATCACCATGACATAAGTGTTGGATGTGAAAACATCAATAAATGCAGCAAAGTTTGAGTTTCGTACTTCCATGCTCTGGAAAGAGGCAGCAAGCTTACTGTGGGACAAAAAGAGAAGAAAAATTATAATGACATTGTTCACCACCTACAACTACTACATAAATGGAATTTACTTCACCTGCAGCTTAGTTTGAACTGCTTTATGATGTTACTGATCTTCTCAAAGCGATGAGCATCCCGTTGTTCCTTGCACTGATAATGAGAGATCACCTGACAATTAAAAAAAAAAGAAAAATTTTAAAGACCATTTAAAAAACACGAGGTGATGACCAACTATAAAGTGAATATCTTTATTCCATGTACAAGTAAAAATGTATGCAGATACATAATTCTATATGTAAAAGCACTAAGGTTTTATTTTGGTACAAACCAGGAATGTAGCTCTTTCAAAAAGTAAGACTTCATCTGCCTCAATTATCTGAGCAAAGTTCCGGAGGTTGCACTCAAGCTGCTGTACATTAGGAATTAGCTGATAGACAATACTGGACCATGCCTTTAGACAAAAGCAGACAATGCAAAACTTACTTTCAGCGTATCTAAAATGCTAAGGAGGTACTGAGAAAAGCAACTGATCTTACTTTATACAATGTCTCATCCCAAATAGATGTTCTAAAGCAGGTGCAGGACAGCGGACGAGACAGTCTTTTCAGATCCTCCTCACGCTCTTTAAATATCTAAATAACCACAATGCAAACACATATACAAAAACATTAGTTTCCTGATATACATAGACCTTAAGATGACATTGTGCCAGTATCTTACCAAATCTCTCTGATCCTCCTGAACCAGGTCCATCTTGTGTACCAGACAGAATATCTTGGCATCAGGTGAATTCTGCAGTATGGCTTCCAGACAAGACTGGTAGTAATGCATATCTTTCTCTAACTCTCGGCTCTCCACATCAAACACATAGATCAACACCTCTACATTTCGAAAGATGTTGTCTCTCTGACTTGTGAAGTAGTTTTCCATGAAAGTATCCTGACTGTTGAATATATATATAATTACACACACATATATATATATATATATATATATATATATATATATATATATATATATATATATATATATATATATATATATATATATATATATATATTTTTTTTTTTTTTTTTTTTTTTTTTTTAGAGATAGAGCAAACATGAGGGGAAAAAATACAACATACCTTACATAATCCAACAAATCAAAAGTAGTAATCATGATACTTACCCACCACAGTCCCACAGGTTCAGCACCAGATTTCCCAAAAATCGCACGTGAGAGTGCTCCACATCAACTGAAATGGTAAGTTAAGTTTAAAAGTAGAAAGTTAAAGTTATTTTGCTGTTGTACACTAAACGTATAGCAGTATTACACAGTATTGCAAAGACAAGCATAGCACATACAGTAGCACTAGCAGAATATCAAAGTTTGTGCGGCTGCCATGGACACGTGCTTAAACTAAAACTCTAAATCTTTGCAATGAAAAAATATTCTTTAGATAACATTATCCAATTTCAGTGTTAATCAGATAAAATCCCTAGGAGGAGTTTGTTAAAATACATCACCTTGAAATGGCAAAAATGCACTTTTTTGGAAGAGGAAGCAAAAAAAAAAAAAAAAAAAAACTAACTTCCTGTTGGCTTTGACAATTCACTCCAAATAACTTTTTGTAGCTTTTGGCATGTTTGATGTGTGTAATAATTTTCGTATGTGTGTGTGAAACGTAGGGCTGGAGGATATGGCAAAAATTTATATCACAATATATTTCTTAAATTCAGTCGATGTGATATTATACCGATATCGATATGGACAATACCAAGGAGACAGGAAAAAACTCCCAAAGACGCACACAATAGATGTCTGTACCTACAAATGTCTGCAAACTGAATATGCAAAGTCTATAACACCTCTTATAACTTTTTTTTTATATGTATAAATACGATACAAAAAATATGTGCACTTTTTATTTGTTTTAGCCTTTACAAACAAGAAATGTAAAATAAACATTTAAATAAATAACACTCAGACTCAGCTTATTTCTAAGCTGTGTGTGTGTGTGTGTGTGTGTGTGTGTGTGTGTGTGTGTGTGTGTGTGTGTGTGTGTGTGTGTGTGTGTGTATGTGTGTGTGTGTATGTGTGTGTGTGTGTGTGTGTAAATAATATATAGACATAGATCATGGAGGTTAATAACATACTAGAATCATGCCAATAACATGCTAATCCATGATAGAATCATGCTAATGACATGCTAATTCATGCTAGAATCATGCTAATAACATGCTAGTCCATGCTAGAATCATGCTAATAACATGGTGACATTTGCATGCATTTAGCGTGAGAGTCACGCAATTGACGTTATTCTCACGCCACACATTCATTTTCTCACGCAAAAATCATCTCCTTGAAATATTTTTTTTAGTTTTAATAAAGACGGTTTTAAAGACTTTTTTCGGTATATAAAGATGTTATTCTCTGTGTGCAACCGAATCAAGACTGGTGAAAGCCATGTAATCAAAAACAAACCAACGCATGCGCGGAGATGGCATGCCTCTCGATCCGCTCCTGCTTGCGCTGACACGATACTCTTGTTCCAGGTACGGAAATGAATCCCAGTTGTAAACATTCATGTCAAAAAAAATATGCGCTGCTCACATGCCACTTATGCATTGTGTTGTGCAGAGAAATGCACCCCTGGCGTAAAATTTCATAGACTTTTATTAGGACTCTCAGTCTTCTGTAAGGCAATTGTTCACTGTGTTATTAAAAAGGTTGTATCAATTTCAGTTAATAGATGCATATTTCAGAGGGGGTGCATTTTATGGCAGGGCTAACATCCTTTTATGTAGGCTACAGGTGTCAGCCTGCATTGAGATTTGAAAGTTTAAAGTTTAAACAATGTGATGATCTTATTTCGACTAATTGGTCCTGATAGATTTTTTTGTATGAAGCAGAAAGGAGGGATGAGGTCAGGGAGTTTAAACTTCATTCAGTCATTTTCTTTTCAGTCCCTTTAGTAAACTGGGGTCGCCACAGTGGAATGAACCGCCAACTTATCCAGCATATGTTTTACGCAGCAAATTACCTAATTCTCGGCCATGAGTCAGGTCTAAGACAACACAAAACAGATAATTTTAGAAAACATTTTTTGTGTTCTATACAATTGTCTATATAATTTCATTTTAATATAAATTACTATATGTTTATGCAAAAAAATTCTTAAATAATCTTAGCATATCACTTCAGTCTTTACATTGTTTTCTAGTTACATTTAGAATTTATTTTTTATTTTATTTATTTAGAATAGAAACATAATTGGATAATAATAAAAAGAATAATAAGGATACTTTTATTTATAATAAATATTTTTAAAAGTATTTATTAAAATAATATAATTATAAATAAAATAATATAATTATAAATATAATTTATAAATAAATAGGGGCGTGGTTTGGTGTGGCCGGGGCTTGTTGGCATAGGGGCGGGGCATAAATTCTCACTTCAAGCTAAAGCCAAAAGTTGGCAGCCCTGTCCTGATTCATGCTAGAATCATGCTAATATGTACCAGAATCATGCTAATCCATGCATCATGACAATTACATGCTAATTTACTGTATACTAGAACCATGCTAACAACATGCCAATTCATACTAAAATCATGTTAATGACATGCTAATGCATGCTAGAATCATGCTATAAACGTGCTAATTTGTACTAGAATCATCATAGATATATACATTAGATGTCGCCTACCCTGTTGTTGTCTATTGGAAGGAATGTATCGTGGAGGACTGTGGCCATCCAAAGCCAGAGATATACACATATATTTATGATCAGGAGTTTTCCTGGATGTTAGTATGCAATTTTTTTTAAATTACGAAAATTAAAATTTTGCATCACTTTTCTACATTGATGGATCAGTGATCGCACAGGCATTCCTGACAAAAAGCTTGTGTTTGTGTGTACAGAAATGTACTATCCACCCTCCCTGTTAAATTTGATCTAATCCGTGTCCTGAAACACACCTCCTCTCCTGCTTTCACTTCTCATACTGACGAAGGGAGCGTTTCGTTTGAGAATGAATCTCCGTTATGAACGACTTGTTCACTAGACGACAATAATACAAGTTTCTGGCACTGCAGCATTTCGTTGTCATATTTCTTTTGCATTATTTGCTGATTTTATTCAACAAAACTAACATAAGCCGAGTATTTAGTGCGAGTTGGAGCTACTTTGCCTTAAGGTGAATGCAGTAAGTGACTGTATTATCATCAATAACGTTACCTGTTGAACACAAAAGTTCATAACATACAAAAACGTAAAAAACTTAATCTTACCTATGGAATGTTCTGCCTTTGTGCTTTGTTTTCTTTGTTTGCTCGTTACTACACCCGTTGACAGCTATAAAGTCCCGCATCTTCACGTAATAACCTTGTCTTGACTAGTGCGGTTAAATGACACTTGTCCTGGGAGCACTGTACCAATGTGGCAGCTCTATTGATGCATGCTCAGGGTCCCTATGCAATATCTAGTGTATATATCTATGCTAGAATCATGCTAATAACATGCTAAATCATACTAGAACCATGCTAATGCATGCTAGAATCATGCTACTAACATGATAATTTGTACTAGAAATATCTATCTATCTATCTATCTATCTATCTATCTATCTATCTATCTATCTATCTATCTATCTATCTATCTATCTATCTATCTATCTATTTATCTATCTATCTATCTATCTATCTATCTATCTATCTATCTATCTATCTATCTATCTATCTATCTATCTATCTACAGATGTTACTACTTCAAAATGTTCCTTTTGCCGCCATTCATACCGCGGCGACGGCGGCAATTGGTGCACCAGTAGCTTTTGACCGCTGGGTGGCACTTTAACCACAGATATTCAGCTTTGCATTTTCACAATACTAAAGAGACGGTTCTATATGCGTACCTTATGTGATGTGATGTGATGTGTTCAATTAAAATGTAATTTTGATTTAGTTTTCTTAGTAATATAATAACATAATAACATGATCTTACACTTTACTGTATGTTTTAGAAAATATACATGGTGAGAAGTATAGCCCTAGGCTGCAAAAAGCAAATATAAGTATTAAGTTCTTTAGCCTTTATTCAATTCAATTCAGCTTTATTTGTATAGCGCTTTTACAATGTAGATTGTGTCAAAGCAGCTTCACATAAAAGTTCAGTTTAGTTTAGCTCAGTTTAGTGTGGTTTAAATTATTACTGAGAGTCCAAACACTGAAGAGCAAATTCATCAATGCGTAGCTCTACAGATCCTGAACCATGCAAGCCAGTAGAGACAGCAGAGAGGGAAAAAAAAAAAAACTTCACCGATAGGAGAGTGAACAAAAAAGTTATCTTTAGTGTCCTATTAAATTATGTTGGGGTGAAAATAATGTTTCGATTTCTTTGACCATCACAGCGATGTTATTACCTAAAATCTTAAATGTGCGCATATGAAAAAGAGCAAAATAATTTTATCATGCCAGTGGAGCACATCACCTGATTGTAAACTTGTGATCACCTGAACTTACTTTATCAGTAGGCTATTTATTATTTATTACAGGCTACGTTACAAATATTTAACCAACTGGCACCTAATGTAAAACACTCTCATGTTTGAATAAATTAATTAAATAAATGGGCATATCCGCACGCAAAGTGAGCCACATATTATTTATCGTCTGTTTATTTTCTCTGTTTATTTTCTCTTTCACACGCATGTAGAGAAATAAATAAATTTGCCTGTTTAAAAAAAGCATTAGGTCAACTAATGTATAATAATAATAATAATAATAATAATAATAATAATTAGCTATTAGTAATTACCTATATCCATAATGCCGGGATGTGTGGTGCTTTGACTCGATATCTAGGTCAAAAGCAAAATTGTTACCTGTTGCATGGCATAAGCAAGCCTATAGTGTGGAAAAATATAAGTTTACCAAAACCATCGTTAGCCAACTAAGGTCCTATCATTACAAACATAGTTTGCTGATTTGCCGTATCCCAAAAGTTAGTTTATAATAGTTTTTACATACAGTATTGCATAGACCTAGTTTTTATCGGACAAATTAACGCATGGATTCTGAGTTATTATTTAAAACATAAACCTGCGTTTTAACGACGGATGTGAGTCTCACAAAATACTTTTCAAATAAATGTTTTTGTATTATTATTACTTAATGTGAACAACACTTAATAAAAATTTAAATGTATTTATTTCACCACTTATTGGAAAAACTATAAATTACAGTGCTTCCCGCACTTGCAGTGGTAGCCGGATTGAAGCACATTATTTACACACTTCACTTTAACTATATGCGATAAAAAAAAAACATAATTCCACTTTTAATAATAATAATTGTATTTATTATGACACTTTTCTTTTTTCAAAAAATGAACAATTTCAATCTCGAGGAGATACCGACAGCTTGATTTGCAGTATTTTTTAACATGTTAGAAGCGGGCAGCAGACACGGTGGCTGTATAGACGGGCCGGCACAGAAAAGCATGGCTGCCGGTGGAGGAGCGGCTGTCCCCACATTGCCCTCAGCAGCTGATTGAGACAGAGCTGCACTTCCTTACTGAGTGCACTAAATCCTCCAAGATCCGGGAGAAATTCTACCCGATAATCCAACACATACAAAAACAACTTTAAGTTCCTGTCGAACAGAAACTGCCCATCTTACTGGGGGAGTGTGTGTGCTGCTGTGTATTCAACCAACAATACCCGCTCCACTGTCTCCAACACACAAATACTGGAACTCTTTATTTGTGGACTTACTTTTGGTAATAGGCTACTATCATTACCTTTACCCTGTTTAATGTTATCAAAAATCTATTTTTATTTTTATTATTCTATTTTTATTATCTTTTTTTTATTATTCTATTTTTTTTCTTTATTATATGTTATATTCATATTTGTTTGCACTACTGCCCTTTTTGCACTGTCTTGTTTGTACACTGATTTGGCAAGAATGTACAGTTATTTGTTTAACTTATTTAAAAGTTACCTTTTAAACGATGGCTGTAATTTATTTCAGTATTCAAACATTAAATAATGAATGCATCAAGTGAAATAAAATGAATATGAAACAACACATGGATATAAATATAAAGACTATTATAAATAGCAAAGTGCTGCTCTTTTTATCTTTGTATTTTTATAATTTTATTATTGTTATTTTTTATATTTTAAGTTAATTAAAGCTATAGACAAATACTGCTTGACATTTTTGAAAATATTTTGCGCAACCCAGTACATATTAAAAATTACCGAGAACAAACAAACAAAAGCACAGCTTAGGATGTTAATCAATTTAATCAAGCTCTAGCCACAAATAAAATAATAGGCTATTTTATTTTTATACTTTAGACGACGGTTTAGTAATTATATTATAAATGGTTATGTTCAAGTCAATGAAATAATAACTTTAATAAACAAAATATGTTCGTAAGAATGTGGTGGGTCAGTGATTCCATGGCTGTCATTAGTGGGTTAATAAGCTCAGGAGAATTC